TATACATATATATACTAGGGATGGGCAAACTTTTTGCTGTGAGGCCCGCATTAAAAGCTACTATACCTTCAGAGGGCCGCACACACACACACACACACACACACTCACACACACACACATATATATATATATATACGAATATAAAAATTTTCGAAAGTTGAGCGGGGGAGGTATTTCTAAAATGTTGAAATGTTGACTGGGGGAGGGGTAACATTTGTGGCTGAAGATTTTTTGCGCATATTGTCATTTTTTGCCAAAATACGTTCAAGCACACGCGGGCCTCATAAAATGGCTTGGCGGACAGCATAAGGCCCGCGGGCCGGGATTTGGCCCCTGCCATATATGCATATATGTATACGCTATATATATAAATAATATATATATATAAATTATATATATGTATTACGTATATATGTATATATATATATATATATATATGTGTGTGTGTGTGTGTGTGTGTGTTTGTGCGTGCTTGTGTTTACGTGTTTGAGTACTGACATAAATTACAAATATAAAATGTATATATAAATATCACAGACACAAATTTATACATACGCACGGATACGAAAGCATAAACGAACGAAAACAGAAACATACATACATAGATACACATACACATATACACAAATATACACACAAACAAACAAACATACACACACATACACACATACACAATGTTTTGTGTAGAACCAGCAAGCCTGCAGCTATTTTGAATCAGCTAGAGCAATAAGTGAATGAGTGAAAGAGTGGATGGGTAAAAGAGATGAATGAATAAAAGAAAGAAGAGCGAGTGAATGAGTGAGTGAGTGAATGAGAAAGTGAGTAAGTGAGTGTGAGGTTATATAATAACAAAAGTACCAGAGCAAGATAGAAATTCAATATAATGTTAAAGGGTATGTATGTATGTATGTATGTATGTATGTATGTATGTATGTATGTATGTATGTATGTATGTATGTATGTGTACGTATGTATGTTTATCTGATTACATGTATGTTTCTATGTATGTATGTTTGTTTGTTTGTTTGTATGCATGTATATTTATATGTATACATATATAAATAAATATATACATATATTTTCATATAGATGAAATCATATATATGAACGCACATATGCATGCATACTTCTTGTATTTCTATACAACATGTCTATAAATGTTTGTATGTATATATACCATACAATATGCGATACACATATATACATATATATACATATATATACATATATATATATATATATACATACATATGTATACATACTATTACTATTTAGATTCATACCATTGTCATTAACTACAATAAGATAGAAAATAATAATGAGAAAAATGAGAAAAAAACAACAGCTACAACAGCAACAACAGTAACCATAACAACAACAACAACAACAACAACAAAAACAACGATGATAATAATAATAATAACAACAACAAAAAACAATCAATGAATTCATTTGAAAATAACAATAAGGTAACATCAGCTACCCACATTTTATTATGCATTGTGTGGAGAAAGATAATAATAATAAAAATAACAATAATAATAATAATAAAATAACAAGAATAATAAAAATAATTACCAGTGTTCTATTCTCCGAGCATACCAAAAAAAACTCTATTATTATAAATAATAATTAATATTAATATTTTTGCAGCTCATAATGGAGGTTTGTGCAAATTATAAGCATATATTTACAACCGCACATGCATGCGAACAAACATGCAGACAGACATACAAATATACACAGAGACACACACAAACAGGCATAGCAGTGAGATAAACACAGCCAAACAAGTTGTATATTTATAAAGTTTAATTTATTGCACTATTTTCATATATATATATATATATATATATATATACACATATATATACACTGGTTTTTTCATTCATTCGTTCGTTCATTTATTCATGCATTTGTGTACTTTTCTATCCATTCATCCGTCCATTCAATAATTCATTCAGATAGATAGATAGATAGATAGATAGATAGATAGATAGATAGATAGATAGATAGATAGACAGATAGATAGATAGATAGATACACTCATACAAATATTTTTAATATACATGTTGAAAAATGAACACACAAACTTACAAACAAACAAACGCCCATACATAGACACAAACACACATACATACGCACAGACATATTCAAACATATACAAACATACAAACAGGTACTGAGACATACTCAACCTATGCACAAAATGCACAAATCTATATTTAGAAAGAGGAGATGGATAGATATGAAAAATGAATGAATGAACTGATAGACAGATGGATGAATGGTTAGTTGGATAGATATACAGTTAGATAGATAGATTGTATAGAAAGATTACATAAATAGAAGGATAGATGGATAGATAGATAGATAGATAGATAGATAGATAGATAGATAGATAGATAGATAGATAAATAGATAGATAGATAGATAGATAGATAGATAGATAGATAGATAGATAGATAGATAGATAGATAGATAGATAGATAGATAGATAGATAGATAGATAGATAGAAGTATGAAATTCCATAATGAACAATCTTTTATAATGAATAAAATACCAAAACATTGTTATAAACTATTTTCATTGTATGTAAAGATACAAATATGTATGTATGGATGTGTGTATGTATACATGTGTGGGTGTGTATGCATGTGTGTGTGTGTTTTGTTGTATGTTTGTAACAAAATTGCATAATTTTATGCAAATTATACAGAGGTGCATAATTAGCTACATAATATAACATAATTGTCTAATAAAAATAACAACAATAGCAATAATAATAATATAATAATAATAATTATAGTATAATAATAATAGTATAATATAATAGTAATAATAATAGTATAATATAATAATAGTATAATAATATTAGTAACAATAATAACAACATGATGAATCCACAGTGCACATACACACATATCTATGTATGTGTGTGTGTGTGTATTTGCGTATGTGAGTGTGTGTGTGTGTGTGTGTTTGTTTTCGCGTGCGTGTCTTTTCTATAAATATTGAAAAAAAAAAATAATAATTTTCCCCACCTATAAAAACACTAGAGCCGACAAATTATGATAAACAACATCAACAACAGCAACAACAACATCAAAAACAACAACAACGACAACTTCAAAAACAACAACAACATTAACAACATCAACAACAACAACATCAGAAAAAAAAACAACAACGACGACGACAACAACAACAACAACAATCACGATAATAATAATAGCAATAATAACAATTATTACTATTATAATTTGGCCAAAAACAAAACGCAATTCAAAAAATAATAACAATAACAACCAGCAAAACCTCATGAGATTAAATACAAAGGTCAGACCATAGATAGATGATAGCAGTGAATGAAAGAAAAGAAAGGGGAGGAAAAGAAAGAGGGAGAGAGAAAAAGAGAGAGAGAGAAATAAAAATGAATAAAAATAGAAAAATGATGTGGAGATATGGAATGAAAGAGGAGAGCGAGTGAAAAACAGACACAGAGGGATAAGGAGAAAAAAAAAACAAAAACTAAGTAAACAAAAATAGAGAGATAACGTGAACAAAAGAGAGAGGGAAACAGACAGACAGACAGATAGATAGATAGATAGATAGATAGATAGATAGATAGATAGATAGATAGATAGATAGATAGATAGATAGATAGATAGATAGATAGATATAGTCATTGATTGATTGATTGATAAAAAATGAAAAATTGATAAATCGATGATTGATTGAGTAAGAAAAGGGGAAATGAATGATTTTTAAATATAAAATCAGGAATAAAAAAAGGTTATTAAAAACAGAAAATCAAATCAAACCTAAAAAAATATATAAATTCATAAATAATGTTACTAAAGATAATTTATTGTAATTAAATATCGGCCAGTAGCAATTTGTCAAATTTTAAGCGACTTAAACCGCTTCACTGACGTTTACCCCTTACCTCTTACCATGCTGCATATTGTCATTGCCACAATTCATAAGAACCGAAGATAACTTCAAACAAAACAATAGAATTCAAATAAACAAAACTAAACAAACAAAAACAAATCAAATAAAAAAAACATAGAAATCTAACTGTCTGAACCTTTTTTAAGAATCATATTCATGCGACTGACATCACTACTTGCTCCCCCATTATTACTCTTATTGCTGTTGTTGTTGAATTCTAAAAAAAATTGTAAAAATAATATGAATATAAATTATATTATGCATATATTCATTCGTTCGTTCACTCATTCATTCGTTCATTCATTCATCACACACACGCGCGCGCACGGTGTGTGTGAGTATATATGTATGTATGCATGCATGCATACATGCATGTATGTGAATCATTTCATATAGAAGATGTAATACATAAGAATATTTTTGTGCAATGTGTGTATAGACTAAGAATCCAAGAAAGTTATCAATCATGTATAAATAATGTCAATATATAATAACAACAATAAAAATAATAATAATTATAATAATAATAATAACTGCTTACAATATTGACAGTTTTATAATTAATAGAATTGTCACACCAAACATTAATTACAT